ATCCAGCTACCAACTCATAGGCAGGGCATATAGCAGCATCTATCTGTATCCTTACAGATCTAGTAGATTGCAGCACGTGGCAGATGCTCGCCTGGTGGCACGACTGACCTTGCGGAAGCGTGGAGCTTAGGGGCCTTGCTGAGGCGGGAAGGAGTCCAACCCAGCGACAGGCACTAGCTTACATAGACAACATCGAAGCAACTAAGACGGTGGCAGCAGAGTCTTGGACTCCGAACACCAAGTAGTCGTGATACTGAAGTGCCTGGCCAGAGCACCCCGCCCGGGTAGCTTATATCTTGGCCTACCTGCCGGACGAATCTCTACTACGGTCCTGTCGTACTGTACTAGGATACTGTCGATGGGGCCCGGGGCCCCAGCCTGTTAGGTGTCGCTACGAACATCCGATATGTCCGTGTCATGATATTGTGTGACATGTACATGTACGGAACTTGAGTCGAATCGTCAACGGAATTAACAGGTGTTGTTATTAATAATCGTTAAAATATTTGGAGGGAAATGTAGCGTACTACACAATAACATCGTCGGCTAGCATGCATAGCTATAGCTACCCCATCCAGAAATCCTACATAACTCTAGCCAACCAATTACACAGCCGATTAAATGAGACGCCCACCTAGGCCTTGAACCTACCCATGTGGCACATGTACATCCCCATGTACAGGCAGGTGCTTTAGGATGTGATGCCCACCATCGTACTTATTACTCGACATATGCATATGAATCGCCTGCTGGTCTACATTTCTTCATGCCTATGCATGCATGCATGCATGCATGCATGTGCATGCATAGGCATCCAGCAGGCTATCGGAGCCATGTACAGGAGCTCGCAAACATTAACGACGAAACTGCTATATGTCTGTATCAACCAATAAAGCTCATTCATGTCAGAACGGAATAGTGCTAGTTACGTTTTATAGATGCTTTCCATTGGCAGTGATACAGACTGAATTCAGGCGGACGATCCTCCCTTGTTTTCCTGCTGTGTGCAGGACTTTACGCAGGACCTTTTCCCTTGATGTCCTATGAAATCGTAAAGACATGTACATGTGCTTCAGTAGAAGACTGCGATTGCAGCCATACAAACATCCCAGCAACACATAAAATGCCCACATTGAGGATTGAACTCAAGACCTTTCCCTTACGAAGGGAACGCTCTACCACTAAGCTATATAGGCGCTCACAAATCGTAAAATGTTCAGATATATAGCTCTACTAGGCACACATACATGGGTATCCCATCTATGTATGGGTAGGTGCGTACATTTTAGATACACAACACCTACTCACACATTGTGTTTCAGTGCAACCCATCGCTAAGTCCCGCATCTGGCCTCTTTTTGCCCTGAGTCAGTCAGTCGGTCGGTCCCTTGGTTTGTCCATAACGCATGATAATGGTTATTGGCTCAATTATATGTGAAGAGACAAGAACCAATACCATTTAACATCCGCCATATCCAACATAGAATCGATTTGACAATCAAGACCCATACGAGCGAAATGTCTTCCATGTCGATCATCATGCACTGAAAGACCGGCCGTACTGACATATCTGATCCGTTTTGACTTGAAAGTTGACTAAAGCTGTGGAATGGAGCCTGAAGGCAGGTAGCCGTGCGTCACCACACCCTATGATAACAAGTGGATGCACCAGGATAAAATAACAATGGATCTGGTCTGAGAATGCATGAATGCCTTCCATGAATGGTAGGCGATCACCATTGACCAGCCTCAGCTATGTAACTGCTCAACCTACTTATTATATTATTAGATGTAACCACACGTACACAGCATGCATGCTATGTGCATGCGGGTAGGAATGCATATGCAAAGTGTGTACAAGCATGCTGATTGTTGGTAAGGTCCTCATGACATGGTTGCACAGTGCAGTGCCCATACCACATACAGGCTATCGATAGGGGTGATAGAAACCGCCCCTGCGGTCTGCGCAGGATACATCAGGTTGGGGTGAAAAATCTACTTCTGCTTCGCTGCAAGAGGATTACTGCACGCTTCTGACAGACACTCTTGAGTCAAGGAGGGTCAATACCAGGGCCCCTCCGGGATCGAACCGGAGACCTGCTGATCTGCAGTCAGCTGCTCTACCACTGAGCTAGAGACCCTTCGTTTCGTCGCTGAGGAGGAAGCTGTCGTGCGCGTGTGCCGGGGAGTTGCGGGAATTGAACCCTCGACCTCTCGCACCCTAAGCGAGAATCATACCACTAGACCAAACTCCCAAACATGCCATCGTTGTACGACACAAACGTACCACAACAACGCAAGCCGTACATACACACACATGAAAACGCACGCATGAGACTCATATCTTGTCACCCTGGCGTCACCGGCCCCTGAAACTAGGGCAGAAGAATGTAAGGAACGCTATGCATGTATACAGAGGTTTTGTGCGCATGAATGATTTGTGATGCGAATAAACCCCCCACATCCATGTTGTGCAAACATCGGAGGTTACTGCTCTATCTACATTAAAATCCTACCCTGCCGCACTTGGCCCATCCAGCTACCAACTCATAGGCAGGGCATATAGCAGCATCTATCTGTATCCTTACAGATCTAGTAGATTGCAGCACGTGGCAGATGCTCGCCTGGTGGCACGACTGACCTTGCGGAAGCGTGGAGCTTAGGGGCCTTGCTGAGGCGGGAAGGAGTCCAACCCAGCGACAGGCACTAGCTTACATAGACAAGATCGAAGCAACTAAGACGGTGGCAGCAGAGTCTTGGACTCCGAACACCAAGTAGTCGTGATACTGAAGTGCCTGGCCAGAGCACCCCGCCCGGGTAGCTTATATCTTGGCCTACCTGCCGGACGAATCTCTACTACGGTCCTGTCGTACTGTACTAGGATACTGTCGATGGGGCCCGGGGCCCCAGGCTGTTAGGTGTCGGTACGAACATTCGATATGTCCGCGTCCTGATTTTGTGTGACCTGTTCCTGTTCGGAACTTGAGTCGAATCGTCAACGGAAATAACAGGTGTTGTTATTAATAATCGTTAAAATATTTGGAGGGAAATGTAGCGTACTACACAATAACATCGTCGGCTAGCATGCATAGCTATAGCTACCCCATCCAGAAATCCTACATAACTCTAGCCAACCAATTACACAGCCGATTAAATGAGACGCCCACCTAGGCCTTGAACCTACCCATGTGGCACATGTACATCCCCATGTACAGGCAGGTGCTTTAGGATGTGATGCCCACCTTCGTACTTATTACTTGACATATGCATATGAATCGCCTGCTGGTCTACATTTCTTCATGCCTATGCATGCATGCATGCATGCATGCATGTGCATGCATAGGCATCCAGCAGGCTATTGGAGCCATGTACAGGAGCTCGCAAACATTAACGACGAAACTGCTATATGTCTGTATCAACCAATAAAGCTCATTCATGTCAGAACGGAATAGTGCTAGTTACGTTTTATAGATGCTTTCCATTGGCAGTGATACAGACTGAAGGCGGACGATCCTCCCTTGTTTTCCTGCTGTGTGCAGGACTTTACGCAGGACCTTTTCCCTTGATGTCCTATGAAATCGTAAAGACATGTACATGTGCTTCAGTAGAAGACTGCGATTGCAGCCATACAAACATCCCAGCAACACATAAAATGCCCACATTGAGGATTGAACTCAAGACCTTTCCCTTACGAAGGGAACGCTCTACCACTAAGCTATATAGGCGCTCACAAATCGTAAAATGTTCAGATATATAGCTCTACTAGGCACACATACATGGGTATCCCATCTATGTATGGGTAGGTGCGTACATTTTAGATACACAACACCTACTCACACATTGTGTTTCAGTGCAACCCATCGCTAAGTCCCGCATCTGGCCTCTTTTTGCCCTGAGTCAGTCAGTCGGTCGGTCCCTTGGTTTGTCCATAACGCATGATAATGGTTATTGGCTCAATTATATGTGATGAGACAAGAACCAATACCATTTAACATCCGCCATATCCAACATAGAATCGATTG